AACAACTAGTAAAATGCGCTTGCTTGCATGCACCGTGGAACATGGACTTATTTATTTATGCACTATTTTAATCCCACTTTAAACTGGACAACTCATGCTTCCAAAAATGAGTCTGGCATTTTTTATGATGGTTTTTGGAATTTATGCTTGAAATTCCTTGAGCTTGCGCGATTTTTTCAGGCTTAAACGGCAATGTTTTCGGAACGCGGGATTGATTTCAAAGAGAGTCTCATTTGAAAATGTTCTTTCCAATTTAGTGTTAAGCTTGCATTGGAGCAAGATCTGATAAAGCATAGCTCCATAGGCGGGGTAGCAAAAAATGGTTGTGTGTCGGAGATGCTGTCTCTATTTTAAAAAAACTTAGAATAGGATAAATCGGAGACTGCATTAACAACTTTTAGCCAAAGGCTTAAGTGGCTTAAGTTGTAGCTAACCACCTCGTTAAAGATTTTGATGAATTTTGTGGTAATTAAACAAAAAATCACTGAGACAAAACATTTTTCTTGCATTCCATCCTACTATTTATTTCAATAAGGTAAATGTTAGTTGCCTTATTACCAAATATTGTGCCATCGAATCACACCAGTGGTTTGGACAGCACTTATTGTGCCTGCCTTATGAAAATTAAGAAAAAGCATGTGCGTTTATCATGCTCACTCTAATGGAACAAATGAGGAATATGTGTAAACAAATTTCTCATCAGAATGGACATGGCAGTTTTTCCCAATAATCAGTCTATAAGTATGGGGATCAAGCAATGCGAATTAAGATTATGTTCAGTTGAGGGACCGAATGAAACCATGCCTAATTTCGCTCAAGACGAAGTAACTTTCAGACTTTCGAAACCAGACGTTTTGCAAAATAGAAAAACACAGATTGATCCTCTTAACAAGTAGAACTAGCTAAGTCATGAATTTGGGCGCCAACCCAGTCCGACGCAGCTGTTTCAGTGATTTTTGGTGGATGAGAAGGCGTTCAAATAGGTGCAACTTTTGACCACGCAAGGCCCTTCATTCCAAAGTACATAAATGTGTTGGCTTTCTTCCTTAAGTACACATAATAAGAAAATTAATGACTTTGGAATTGAGAATAAGGGATAAGTTGGCGTGATACCAGTTGATTATGCAAGCATATCATTTGCTTTTCCTCGAAAACGTTGACCCTCTGATGATAATTACAAGGACAGTTGAACCAGAAGTGTTGTGTATTTTTAGCACATTATAGTAAAAACTCGTAAGATCTTAAAGTGGAAGTAAAAATTAACCTACCTTTACATTATGTTGAGGGTATAATCCTCAAGGTACCGAATAAACACAAAATTAAACTTTTAGCCTTTATCCAAACTGATTTTCTTTTACTAGGGTGATTGACGGCTCAAGAGGAGAAGAACGCCCGTCAGGCGGACCAATGGAAGGAGATTGGAAGGTGTGGAGACTCTAATGGACGTGGACACTGTGTGCAGAACAGGCCTAACCTCATTGGCGTCTGGTGCACTGAGGATCAACGAGATCTGTCAATCCCTTTGTCATTCAGTCTGAAACTACCCTCAGTACTTACATTATTCCTAATTGTATACTCCAATGCATCAACCATTCAAATTCACTAAAAATTCATTTAAATGTTGCTATTTAAACCAAGCAAACACTTCTACAGTATAATAGGAGGCACCAAGTATTATCTATTTGTTCCTTACAAACTTAGCGAATTAATCAGTCAAAGTAAACTTGTTTTCCGCGTTATTACTTTTAGTGGAGCTAAAAGATCATTTGACTTACTCATCGACTGTGTGATCCAGTGACCACAGTCCCATGCATGAGGATTGACTTTAACACTTATAAAGAAAGTACTTGATTGGGTTTCGCAGCACATCGAAAGTTTTTGTCTGATAAAACTTACAAGTTAAAATAACTCAGTCTTCGCAAAGCCTTTAAAAGGCAGGATTAAGTCTTCTAAAGATGAAAAATGGTAATTTCGATGAGGTGGGGGTAAATTTTGTGCAGGCCACTGATCTTGACTCCTGTCAAAATATTCACAAAATTAAAGCAGAACTTCTATTTAAAAATCTTAATTAACTAAAAGCTTAGTACAATCTGTAATACCACCACTTCCCTTACTCAGCTCTGGTGAGTAGCACTAAAAAGCTATATGGAACAGCTTTTTGAAATCAGCTTCCTCTTCATTAAGAATGAACGGTCACCTGACTAACCGATTTGCATTGTCGCTTAAATTCCGCACATACCGTGACACAATGAAACTGTCCGTAATGTATCATTGTTAAAACAATGCCATTTTTTGGGACAGAATTAACACCAACAACAGCTTTATGTGAAGAATTGCTGCCATAATCCTGATCGCGTTGATAATGATTGATGAATGAGGCAGTCAAATATGTCATTGCCATAAACAAAAACATCATCTCTGTAATAGTAGGATAAAGTGAAAGGGGAAGGCATAAAAGTAGTATAAATTTTTAAATGGTCACGAGTGTATTTAACTCCTCTTGTACACACTCACATTAAACTGTCTTAGTTTATTAGGCTTTTGGGATACATAGGAAATTTCAAAGAAAAAACCAACCTTTTGAAGGGTTTAGTGTTCAACGGGAGTGATTGACAGCAAAAATACAAGCGGGTCGATGATTACATGAAGCTTGTAGGTACGCATGTGCTGGGACCTAGACCCACGACTCCCTTTTCAGACTACCGGCCAGCGCTTTCCAAAAACCGTGAGATCAAGCGGAGGTTCTAGTAGTGTTCGAATTACAAGCCGCGACCGAATCACGTGCAAGAAAATACTGCAATGATAAAAATTGCAGCTATGATCAGAAAATTGTGCAACCTGTAAAAGTTGGACGTTATGTGTATTTTTCCAGCGTGCTCTTGCAGAATCTCGTACGTGAGTTGTCTCCCATTCTTGCCTTCGCTTATGGCAGTCAGCCAGTAAAACAATGCCAAATCAGATTTCTGTCGTTTTCAAATATCTTAGATGACATTTTAGCAATACATTGACTTACTTTAGGCTATAACAGGAAGTTATCCTTTTAATTGTTCATTTAAATGCGAGAGCCTTTTAGCCTCCACATTTTGGGTTTCCATCTTGGTGGTACAACTTTCCATTCATGCCATTTTCGATGGCACCTCTCTAACCTCTGTCGATACATGACGGAGGTTGTCTAATTTTATTCAGGGATGATCCGGGCGCTACAGTGTACAAAAGGAATATTTTATCATGCAAAACACTGTCCAAAAGTTGTTACTGCATTTTGCAAACACGTAACTAACTCACTGAACTATTCTATAGACAAATGTATTACAATTGCCTCATCTTCCTTGGATAAATATTTAATGCGAACGCCTTTTTTCCATGCAAGCATCTGATCAGTGGCAAGGGCATAATAGTTTCCCATATTTTGTAAAGAATGTGAAAAGGTGAAAATCTTAAACAAAAGATTTTATTTTATGGAATTACTTATGCAGTCATACCATTAATCGAGATCGCTTGTACTTATGAGACCAAGGGATTTTATGAGTTCGCGTTTAATTTAATTCACACTAGAATTATAGTAGTAGTCTGATTAAATACGAGATTTTCCTCTTTGAGGTGCAAATTGAGGGATCAACCATTGTTTGGTAGCCCTACTTAGTGCACAAGCAGTAAAAATATCTAAATGCGCGTTTTCATGGTGGGTAAATATTTGTGAGCTACGCTATGATTCTCATGAGTTCATCCTCGTTCTTCACTTTAAGTAAACTTCTCAACTTAATCTAATGCCACTTATTTCTTTTTTTTTCAAAAAAACTGCGACCGTGCTGAAAAGTGTCAGACTGAAACACGTTGCTGCCTGCAGCAGCAGGCCTTCATTAATCAGCTCCAATGAGTCCTGGTGAAAAACAACCACTCATTGGGACGCACCGGAGCTTTGTAAAGGCCTGCTTATCTGATAGAATTTTATTATGACTATTGATAAACTTCTATTTGTTTGGAATTCAACGAGCTCACTAACCTCATTTATTATATCGTAGGCCATGTGCAACTATCATTCAGTATTATTACATGATACTGATTACACTGTCTTTTTAACCATTGACAGGATGACTCATTTTAACTAGCTTAAGTCTCCAAATATACTATTATTATTCATAGCATTTTATAATCCTCCTGCTGCACGCTTTACAAAAATGACTCAGAACTGCAGTATTGGTTTATCGCGGTTATTCGCAGACATTCAAATGATTTGTCATAACTGGCGTTCTAAGGTACTTAGGCCTTAAAACTGCTTTTCAAAACATTTATTTAAACAACGTTCTGATTTAAAAGTGGGAAATGAAATTGTAAACTCTAATTCGACCCGAAAACTAGCGGCATTTATTTGAATGGCGTTATGGTTGCCCAACTCCATCAGAGGTAGGCATATCAGCTTTAAAGTTTTGTCTATTACATAGGACCAGTATCGTAGACATGCATCGCAGAGCATCGACATCAATTATTCAAGGTAATCCAGTGGTAATGAGAAAGCGTATGACAAATCTTGCGGTTTAAAGCTGCTGTATTGTTATAAAATTTATTTCGAGGAGCCGCACTGACTGGGGTGTAGTTGGTCCTTTCGGAAATCCTCCTCCCCCACTTAGAACACTGCTTCTGCTAACACACCCTTAGACGTTGATGGAGTACACTCTCATGTCAGTAATTTGCAATTTTCCATGCAAACTGACTAAAGTGAATTAACAAATTCCTGTCATATTGGTCAATTGAATTTAATAATCAGTCGGTATGCACTGTACTCGTGTTGGGCACCGTGTTCGGCTTCTTTGTATATTCGGAAATGATTATTCTTGTTAAATAAAATATGAATGGAATAATTTTTGGGTTCTGACTTCCTAAAATACCCTGTCAGAACTCGAAGGTTTGAATGAAGCAGTTTATTAGGATTTTTTGAAACGGAACACAGCTCCCTGTCATTGCCGTAAATATTCAGGGTCATTGTCACCGCTTCCAGCTATATGCATTTTCGACAGTTTTTCACGTTATTTGGTATCACATGTGCTGGAGATAGGATGAACAGAAGAGAAGTATATACCCAAATGAGAGTTAAAGCAACTCCAACTTCATGTCTAATCTTATCTGAGTAATAACCAAGTGCACAGAATGCTAGATTGACAAGGTTTTCCCTTAAGAAGCAAGAATTTATACGGTGAAAATGAATTTATTGCTAATAAAGGGTATGCGATGGAATACAAAAACCATGATTGCTCCCCTCAGTTCGATAAAAAATTGATGTTTCTGTTGCTTTTGGAAAGAATTGGAACACTTTTCTTCTCAAAGAGTAACTTAAAATTCCGCAAGAAACAATCAAGTCGCCTTCTCAAAGCACCTTCTCTGGTGGCGTAGATCACGGGGGTTGTTATGGTAGCCATGTAAACAAGAAGTATGCTTACGGTCTCGAAGCCATTCCGCCAAGCACTCCTATGCTTGGTGTATTCGATCATGACGGCCTGGTAGCAGATGACGCACATGTAAGGCAGCGTCAGGCCATAGAAACTGCCCACAATTAGCAGCGCTGATTTGGCAGTCTTCGCTTTTTTAAGGTAATCACTTAGGCACTGCACACCTTCTCTGCTCTCGCCCTCATGGCTGTAGCCCGTAGAGGCGAAGTTGCTGATGCAATGACTTCGAGAGATTAACGCGGGAGACTCGGGTCTACGTGCTGTAGTCGACGGAGCATGGATATACATGCTGCTGCAACTTTGGCATTGAGTGTGGTGGTTTTTAATGTTAAAACCGAGTCCAAAAGACCATTAGCTCCATTCACTTGAGGCATATATCGTGCATGATTTCCTGCATGTACATCAGCCGATCGACACACTATGCTATGAATCTTCGCATACCCCCAGAGGATGAAACAAAGTGGAATTAGAAAAACGAGAGCGATGTACACGTATGCATACACGTAAAATCCCTTAAATCCCTGTATCCCAACAACAAAACAGTACCTCAGATCCTTGGTCCACTCTTCGCTATTGAATCTCAAGTGGATGTATGGAATGAGAGCAAATACGATCGACATGAGCCATCCTGCAGCAATGAATAGGAAACATTTCCAGGGGGACATTACTCGCCAGTAGTGAAAAGGCCGGCAAATGGCAATCAAACGGTCTGTGGTAAGCTGAACGAGACTAAAAGACATCACCATGACAAGTGCGGTAATTGAGACCTCAACGAAGAGACACTGAATCTCATGCCTCGTGTCTGCCACGAATAGACTGTCTTTGCATTTTTGAAATTCAATCAGGATATTTAACAGTGTAGCACACATAAGAAGGGTTATGGATATGCAGAGACTGCAAAAGTAATAGAAGGTAGACTTGTGCAACTTGTGATACCGACAAACATCACTTGACTCCGAGGAGATGCATCGATGACGAAAAGAATTTCGATGATACGGAGGTATGGAATGAAGGATAGCATGCTTCTCACGTAGTTCAGACTCGGAGTTATACGAGTTCACTGGCATGGGAAAGGATATGACCGTGGACTGGAGGGAGTAAGCCAGAGATGTGATGTTTGCGCGTGTTCTGGCGAGAAAAGTAAACTTTTTGCGCCGCCTACGGAGGTAGCATAGTCGATGAAGAGGTTTGATTGTGAGTAAAACGAAGAAGACGTTCTCAAAGAGGCTGCTGACGGCTATGCACAGAAGTATGTAATCATAAATTTGGTTGGAATGAGCTCCTATAAAAGTGGTGTGGCTAAGGGATCCATTGTGATCAACGACGTGTACGGAGTTGTGGAGGTCAGGCTCCATGTGCACCAAGCATGTCGATTAGTGTAAACTGAAAATAAGACCACAAATCGTCATTTCAGACGATAAGTTAAGCATGATGAATGCTAAATTACCGTCGTAATTCGTCGGATTTTGGGATACTTGGAGTCAAGACCGAACGCGCAGATGCATCCAGTCTATATGGAGCTATTTCTGGATCATTGGTCCATTAATCATGTTCGTGGCACAAATTTACCAGTTAAGCAGTAGTAATGGTGAATAAACTTAGGTTATTTGAATTTCTTAAAAGTGCTGATGTTAAAACTGATTATTACATTGTCTGCTGATTATTATAAAAGTTAGAGCAAATTAGTCTCTCTCTGGTACTTTCAAAAAACCTTTAGGCGATCCCAGTCTGGTTTGAAAGTTGCCTATTCTTAAGTCATGCTACTAACGAAAATGAGCTTAATCGGCTTATTTTAATTAAGAAATTGCAAACTTCAATTCTGTTTCCATGGGTACATTTTTCTAAGTTGTAATGGCTAAACGATTTTGGTAATGCCTTTGATTTGACTTGGTTGCGAGTTGATAAATTTATTTGTCCATCTAACACTATTTGTGTTTTATAGCAGTATATGCAAGTGGTACGCTATTTCTAAGACGGAAGGCTTGGTGACTGTGAGGAAAAGTAGGACTAGGCATTAATTTGGAACTCAGTGCACTCCTGACATCAATGTTCCTCATTAAGTAAAACCTTATCTATTATTCTCACAAACACATAAACACAGATGCTATCTTTTAAATTGAAAGATGATGTTATATATTTCATTAAACATATCCATCAAATTTTGTTGACATTTGTCCCATTAGTTGGCGAGTCGTCTCCTACCTGGCTGGTACTCACCGAGTCAATTCATTTCAAAGGAACTTGTGCATGCAGTACTCAATTTGGCGATTCCTGCTGCATTCGGGGGTAAAGCAGGTTTGTTCCTTCTACTGACAGATAACGTCTAACTCACAGATAAGTCTGCCTTTCGTTGGCACCGCCAATTTACACCACAATCGGACTCAACCACTTACTATGGGAATAATGAATAAATCTATTGCCTCTAATGAACTTAATTCACCTTCTCAGAGCGCAATGCTTTCTTCATGTTGATGCTCTTACTCAATAAAACCACATCGTAGCCCCGGTCGCGCCACTTTACCACTATCACGCAATTGTGGGTAGTATTTTTTGGGGTATAGTTATCAGTGTAGCCTTGGAAGACCTAAAATCTTCATTACTCCAGTTTGGTTTCTAAGACACTAATGAAGCTCCATTTATTCATTAATCTACAAAATTTTTTTAATCAGATACGGTGTAAGGTGAATGAACACTGGAAACGTAGTCCCAAAACTGAGAGGGAACCATTTTCGGGGCAGTAGAATATTAGCAAATTAAAACAAGCGAAGTGATTTTTAAGCAAGACTCGGATAGATGTCATTCTGTAAACACGAATTTATATGTCTGCAACTTTCTTTTCTATCTAGTTTACCAGAAAAGCACCTTACTTCCTATTGTTTCGCACTTCAACTGAATGGGTTCGATGCCTATGTAAAAATTGACGATTTTGGTATTTATACAATCACTCTGTGTCCATTATTAATGAAAACACGTTCGTTGTCGCACGCGGCATGGGTGCATTTCAGAAGAGGACAAATCGACATCTTTTGCGCCACTCTCACTTCAGCTTGCCTTCTGCATTTTCCGCGTATTATGCAGCAAAATAAAACGTCTAAAATGTGCAATGAATTCCCCAACCATGTAATTGTTCTTCAAACTGTGTTAAAAGCAGAAAAAAAAATACAGAAGATCATTTCACCTTTCTTTTCAACCACCTGGTTCATAGTTTCCGATCTCAAATTCAACTACACAATTCTTAATTAATAAAAAAGGAATTCATTTAAAATAAAAGTCACTACGATATCTCAGCCTAGGAATTTACAAAAAATAAAGCACGATTTTCCGAGATTTTTACAGCAAATGCAAAAAGTGACGAGAGAGTATATGATGGGCCAAGAGCAACAAGTCACTTCCCTGAATGCACAGAGAAAGTAGAAAACAGAACTTTGTTTGCAACTGATAGCTTATAGAACGCATTCATTGCTTGGTACAGCGATTTGGAAAAAGACCCGGAAGTCAATTTCTTGTCTTTTCACTTGCCCTACGAAGCTTTCCTTACCTCCTCTGCTTGGCGCACTAGGCTAATTCAAACTTTTTTTTTTGGTTCTGAGGCATACCGTTTAGTTTGACACGTGGGTGCTGACATACTGGTAATGATTTTGAGTTTTTATTCCAGAATATGTTTGACCAAACTTAGCGGGGCCAGGCTACTGTACAATCTTGATTCTGCAACATCATTTAATCACGTTTATCTAATTCATTTTTTTCTGTTGCTACATCACTCAGCAGTGCGTGACTGTGTACTTTCAGCACTTGTTACCCCATTTATTTTCGTAGCAATGGATGCATCTCATCGTTTTGCTTTCCATGTTGAAACCGCACTTTCTTTAAGGCTCTCAACTTAAATGGTGCAATTCAGTGGCAAATAGCAGCCTGCAAAAGCCGTATTAGATGACTGCTGGAAGGCATTTTATGAGGATTTTTATGATGCGATAGGTTTTACTGGCTTTATAGATGCGATCAAACAATCTTAAGAACGTTGTGGAAAAAAAATATGGTAATTTTGGTTAAGTACTCATTGCTAAGCATAGTTTTCTTATAGTAAAATATAGTGAATGGCAAAATCAACATAAAGGTGCTGGTAACTAATGCATTACTTGGTTTGGGATATCGGAAGAAAGTCAACAAAACCTCTCTGTTATTTTGCTTAGTGCTTTCCAGATGTCGTTTGCATTTGACCTTTGTTGTAAGGCTACTCTTTTCAACTGCCAGAACTCATATTTGGTTGGGAGCAGGACGGATGAGCTCGATTTTGCATTCCACTATCTGTTAAATACCTCTACCCCAGTTATATCTAAAAGATTGACGACGTTAACGTTATGCAGAATTGCTTTCTCAGCTATAGTACGGGATTATCTTATGCTAACTATTCCATCAATCCCTATGCTATGCTGACATTCAAAGTGGTTTATTGAAACAGCAACAAATATCTCTAGGCTTCAATTGTTGGACATATAGTACGCTTATCAACTCAAAAAATGACTGATATTATTTTGCATTAATCTATGCACCTTTTAGAAGTAAAAAAACAGTGTAATTTGATTACTTTAATAAGGCAAATTAGGTAAATCTGTGTCATGTTCCTAGTCTACCGCCTGGAGGATCAAAGTGTGAAAACTTGCATTTACATTAGTGTTAAGAATATCATCGTTCAAATTCACTCCAACATGTCAAACAGGACTTGGGGGTGTTGATCGCGGTAGCGTTGACAGCTGTACGACACGATACAGGCAAAATGTCGACAGCAAATAAATTGCATGGCCAGTTTACTTAGGTTAATTAGCACCTGCAATATTTTAAAGGGACATCGTGGTTTGCGATTTCTTTCGATTGTTTTAGTCATTCATTCATGAAACAGTTTTGTTAATGCAAATGATGTGCCTGAAGTTTTATGAATAAATGCTCCTTGTATTCCTTAACCCTTTAATTATATCAGTAGATGTTACAGTTTATGAAAAGCGCTGACATTTTTGCTGCAGGTAATTATATGAAAACAAGTCTTACGTAGAGGAGGAAGAAAGCCTGTACACTTCCACTTACGTCAGTGTTAATTGTGGGGCATCAGCTGAGCCAACGGTTTAGCAAGTGGGTGCTGGCCAATGGCCATCCGCAGAGGCATTCGGGGAGAATTGGCCGTCGATGGCTGATATTTCGCTCTTTCCTACTCTTAATCGGGTTTAATCATTCGATATCTTCATTGCAGAGATTATATCGCTATATTCATTGAGACACGGTTACGGATGTTTGGTATGCAAAATTATGAGCAAAATTAGGCTTTTACTACGTAAAAACCACTTACTAAGAAATACTGTATAATTGACACCAGAAATAGTAGGGTCACTTAGGCAATAACGTTAAAATCGATTTAGAGATCCTTCAGACCCAAAGTCATTTAAATTTAATTTTAAGAGATTTCTAAGGTTTGGCTTACTTTACCACTGGCATATTTGTCTATGGTGTGATTGCTTTCGTAAACCATTTCCTTGCCTCGAATTTCATGAACTCAGAACATTCCAATGTGTAGAACCGAAAGAAGTTGTGATCAAAGTGGTTGTACTAAACAAATGGGTACCGCAATCCAGTTCGCAAGTCATCAAGTGCAAATAGAACTTTTTTGCATGACCACTATAGAACACCATGCAATGAGCTCAAGTGCAATAGTGAGGAATGATGGAAGGTTTTAACCTCACGAAGTGGGATATAATGTCAATTCAATAAATATTTTATACGATAAGATGGTTTGAACGGCTTGGACTACAATTCTACTCAAAATCCTATTGATGCTGCGCAACCCCTGATTGCATCCCTGGCAGGATTCGTAGAGAAGTGTAGAGCTGAGGCAGTTTGGAAGTCACTTCCGGCTATTAACTAACACGTATTTCTTATTCCCCATAATTGAGCTTAACAAGTTTCAACAGTGAAAGGCCTTTCGATAAAACCTTCCAGCTACCCCAATCAAGATTAAAGTTCCTTGTTTGCGGCAAACAAACGTCATTCGTCATCGTTAAAAGTTATATCAATTTTTTGAATATTGGTTTTGATTTTGGCATTTATTTTACCTCAATTTTTTTTACAGTTCCGCACACCGAAGTCATGCAAGTGATAAGAAAATTATCATGACCAAATGCAAACTTCATTCCAAACATAGTTTTCAGCAAATTTTCCCATTCCTTTTGTGAATAAACCCAAACATTTTATTTTATTAACAGATCAGCATTGGAAAAAATAACCGTGGTTACTGATGTTATCGAAGTTGGGTCATCAACTTAATTCCAACTGCTTCGTAGAGTACGTACTAAACAATGACTACTGTCCTGATATCTTATGATATCAGGAAAGCAAAAAATATTTTTAAAATGCGTACTCCACTTCATGTTTGTAGCATATCAATTGAAAAGGTCATCCTTTTCAAAGCGCATTGAATGACTGAAAGGGGAGTGGTTGAGAACAATGTTATACGAGCTCGAATAATCAGCAAATTTTTTGTGCAGCTGCCAGTAAAGAAGTCCAAAGAGCTAGATGAATGTAAAGAAGTCGTAAAAATAGGCTTTCTAAACAAGCACTTGAGAATTTGTTGCTTTACAAGTCGCATGTACAAGGCACTTAGTTGATGCAAGGTGTGATAGGTTCTACAGATGCTGTGAGTCACGTTTTTATACAATTCGTAGCCGAGGAGATAACTTTTCCTCTTGATAACATAGGACTCCCAAATCAGAAGACTTTCAAACGTCTAATCTATCCTGTTGCAGTAGACCACTGCATGCCTCAGTCTCACGGCTGATGAAAGTACTTAATCACTAACCAGAGCCCACCAGATAGGCAGTCAGAAGTCTATTTTGTTGATACTTTTTGGGATCTTGAGCCAAACACATTTTTCAAAATGAATGCAAATATGCATCCATACCTTTTGTAGCCCCCGAAGCTTCCCTGAACACGAAAGAAGACATAATGCTGGGGTAGAATATGCATGTATGCACTCGACATATAGCAGAGCTGGGGCTACTGACAAGGCACGGAGGCCGGCTCACTCGGTGGAGGTACAATAGCGGACACCCGTTTCCAACGCATTACATGACCCCTCCGTCTTCAGCGTCGACCCCGGCGCTCCCCTTGGCCAACCTACTGCGTCAGCCACCACAACACAATCAGTGCTGTAAAAAAAACACCCACAAGCCAAATGCGCCATTCACCAAATTTCTATGCAACTGGGGCGAAGCATAGGCACTTCTTCTGTCACACTAAGGTATACCTATCAGCCGTAGGCATCAAGAAAGTTGTCCTTTAGAATCGGGTTTGCTTTCCACTGTCACCAATGTAGCTCCCCGAGACTTCCTTGATGATGAAATAGGCCATAATACTCAGACAGAATATGTATGTTTGACGTACAGTAGGGTTGGGGGCTACTAGCATGGCCCAGAGGCCAGCCCACCCGCCAAAGGTACAATGACGGATACCCAAATTGGCCCCTTTACCAAAACCGAGAGTTAAATAGCCAACGCATTACACTACCATTTGCGACGAGAGAACAAGTGATGGCCAGTTTTGAGAGGCATCCTATCCTCCTTACTGATCGACAAACTCTTACAGATTCATTCCAACCAGCCAGATTCTGTATTGCAGCGATGTTCATGTTAAGTCTTACCAAAGCTTCAAGTATAGGTAGTGGCATACATTTAGAGCTTGGTTGTGTTGATTAAGCACTTTTTATCCTGGTCACAGGTTTTCCATGTCAGTAATTTACAAAGTCATCACTACCTAGACAAATCAAACAAAATTTTAAGCCATTTTACTTATATGGCATACAATCACGCCGCGTTTGTAAATAGTTCATTTCAGTCTGTCTGCCTAGAATTTCTATGTTAGAAAAGGATAAAAACTGGGTTTTTTGTTATGTCACAAAAGCGGTCTCAAAAAAGACTATCCAAAAAAGGCCACAAATTGGATGACAATTTTGAATAATTTATAATTAGCACCTACCATAATGACAGTGAAATGGTATTAAAGATGCAGGCTTTTAGGAACCTGTGTCAACGAACATTTTATGGATTATTTTATAATGATGAAAGCAATTTCTACAGAAGGAACTTTTTGATGATTTTCGTTTAAAAATACGTACAGATGTCTTGCACATTGGGGCACAGAGATCAGTAAATATGGTGGCGTCGTGTCATCTAAGGTGCTAGATGTCCTTTGATCATACCTATGTTCCGCAGCCATCCTAAGAGGTTGGACGCTGCATGGGTGTACTTTAACCTCAGCTACTTTTATTTAACAGATTGTAGCGATATGACGTTTGGTTTAACTGTGTATTTGGTTAATCTGATACTTGCCAGTCTGCGGGTTATGCTCCCGCTCTGTGGCGCGGCCTTCGAGCCACACCCTAATTCTTATGCACACTGTTGGCACCTGTGCATTTTGGCTTATTATGACTACAGTAGAGACTTGTAGCACTATGTAGATGTCAAATGAAAGTGAGAGCAAAGATTACTTTCACTTACCAAAGTCGAAAGTAAGGTCATGCTAAATATTCTCAAACCAAATTTTACGGCATTGTCGGCAGAAATAATAAAGTTGCAGTAAATAGCCTTTAGGATGTGTTAACTCTTACCAGTTTAAAACTGTTTTACAAAGTGATATAATGCTCAAACCTGGATCTCATATTAACCATCTTGCGCATAAAAAATAAATAAATTGCAAAAAAACAAGTCATCAATTGCAAGTTAAGCCTTCCATATACTCTTTAGCATACTGATGTTAAACGTGACCATTTTCGGCACTTGTTCGTTTACTTCAGATTACCATATATACTAGGTGGGGGCATACTTGAAAATATTGCTAAGGGTAATGATCTGGCATTAGCGACGATTGCCAGGTTAACTACGCGTCTTTCAATTCTGCTGCTACTATTTTTTACCAAAGGTAGTATCAGAGGTTCAGTCGTTGTATGCATCCAGTTGGTTCCATGAGCTTTAAGGAAACCGTATCCAATTCAGCCAATTTTGCGGAGGTTTGTGCATTCCCGATCATTTTGTGATATGTTCCTTTATGAATTTGTTTTTAATAAGTTTTCTCTACTTAGATGACTGGTGACTTCGATGTTGATCAGAAGTCCCAGTTGTGTGGTGCGGTTGACAGTACAGTGGTGAAAGGATCTACTGATGATACGGTTTCGAAACAAACCTTCAATTTTGCCAGCTCTTTTCAGAATAGCAACACCAAGTCGTCTTGTAGAGGAGATGTGATTGATGACCAGAGCATTGACAGCGGTGGTACATTTTGCCGGCAAGGATTGGGTGATCATTTGACTTCACAAAATCGGATTTCGTCTAGTAATTTATATTGTAATGATCAAACGTCCAACTCCACCGTCTCCGACGCTATTGAAAGTAATATTGAGTCATTAAAGGCTTTGTCTTTAAAATCGGATAATGCAACACCTTTCCAACCGTTAAACTCTGGCAGTGCTAAGACACGAGACATGACATTTTCTACTGTCTCAGGTGATGGGAATCCATTTTCCTTTGAGCGCAGCCAATCTGCCCAAAAATTCGACAGCTACAACTATCTTGGTGATACAGCAAATACAAATTCTGGTGGCAAAAGTCATTCGACTCCTGAATCTAGTTCTGGCATTGAGAGCGCATATTCGTCGACCAATCCTCGGAATCAGCTTTTGCAAGAAACTGAGAATCCACCGTCTACAGGAGAAAATCACCTAGGCGGATGTTCTAGCTCCTACTGGAACACTACTGGAAGCGCTCAGACTGAGGAGTTGAATTATTTAACGACGGCACTGTCTGTGAATTCATCGCCGCTTTTGACAAACCTTCTTTTTCAGCAACCTAGTAACTCTCCAGTTGGTACTAAGGGTGGGTTACAATCTAATTCGGGGGCCATAGGTACCAAGCGTCCGATAGTGGGTGGGCATCAAGGAATGCGTCCTTTGTCAAGACCTCCTGGTTGGAATCCAACGACCACCTCGCTCGACTCTAACTTCACAGCATCTTCTGATCAATCCCCCTTTTTTACCCCCACCTCTACTGGCTTTTCTTCCAAAGCACCGGGGTGGATGGGCCATTTTTCGCCTCAGAACAGTTCGTATCCGTGGTCTTCTACAGCTTCTCAACAAAATGCTTTCAAGTCCAATTTTGCGGATGCTACGTCTGGATTTTCCTCAGGCAGTAGTATAAACGGTTTGCGATTCGGAGGAAATAATAGCCTGTCAAACATGGGATCTAATGGATTCTCAAAAGGTCCAACCTCTTCTAATCCTGCATCTTTGTACAGCATGTTTTCCAAGCGTCCTCCGCACCGAGTGACGGCGCATTGGCAACAACAACAACACCACCAACAGCATATGCAGCAGACACCACCATCTATATTGAGTAAGCAACATAGCTCAGATTTTTCGAGTTCGGGGCCCTTGTCTATTGGAGGACAGGATGGTGTCTTGAATCAGAAAATGCCTCATGGTTCATTTGGATCTAATTCTGGTGTGTCCCCTATGGCTAGTGGTATGATGTCTGGCAATATGGATAGCTTAAACGCAGACAGGTACTCGAGCTATGGGTTTGATCAGCATTTGATTGAACTTATGAAAACGATGGATTCTTCTGGCAGTTCTCAATCGGGTTTACTTGATGATTTGGCCTTCGGAATGCCCCGGATGGATAATTACCATGGAAATTTGCACTCATTGCCTGGTATGTCACAGTCAAGGCCTGGATTGATGTCAAGTGGATTACAAAATCAGGGTTTGCATGGCATGGGCAATGCACACTCTAGCCTTTCTGCAATGGCTCCTCGTGAAGAAGGCTACTCTCGCAAAGTTTTCGTTGGTGGTCTTCCTCCGGATATCGATGAAGGTGACATTAACGCTTCCTCTAAAAATTCCTATTTTTTAAAGCATTGAATATTATAAACTTCCTTTGTAGAAGAAATCACTACAGCTTTTCGTCGTTTCGGAGCACTAATTGTTGATTGGCCACATAAGACGGAAAGCAAAGCCTATTTCCCCCCGAAAGGTATTTTTTTGCGATAATTTGTGAATTTTTTCTATCTTATCATGTTGCATACATGTATTAAAATCCTATTTTTCGCCTCTAAAACAATCTACTTTTAAAGGTAAGGCGACCTTTTACCAATTGTGGGCTAGTTAAGTATTAACTGATCACTCGACCCACGAGTTGTCAAAAAAGTGATATTCAGCAATATATCTGATACCTATCGGTTGAACTTGTTTTAAAAATAGGTTACTGCTTCCTGCTGTTCCAAGAGGAACAATCAGTACAGAATTTGATTAATGCCTGCATTGTCGATGAGGGGAAATACTACTGGTGCGTTTCCTCTCCAACTATGAAGGATAAACCGGTACGTGTTGTGCTCTCAGATCCAGTCCCATTTTCAAATGTCCCAAGGTGTACTACATTTATCTTCAAGCGCTTTAAAAATGTTCATTTGTATTTGAAATAATTCCACAGTTATGGCTCCATCATTTACTTGTTTATGAGTCTGTCAAGATTGTTAACTAAATTGCGTAATAGGTTCAAATTCGCCCGTGGAATTTGGCTGATTCCGACTTTGTCATGGATGGTTCCCAAGCGTTGGACCCACGCAAGACCATTTTTGTGGGTGGCGTACCGCGACCGCTTCGAGCAAGTAGGTTATGTGATGACTTTTTTACCCATTTTGTCACTCATATTCTTCATTCCATGTGGTACATTGTTTTAATATATTCTGGGTCTTCTTCAAGACATTGCTGTTCATGCCTTCACTAAGTTGCATTGGTTATTGTGCTCCAAGCGTTGTTAAGATCGCACTGGGACGTTTCTAAAAACCTCTGGGGGCCGGCTTTACATTGGCACTTGTATAAGTAGTTGCTTCGATTCATAATCGTGTTTTATGTGCTCCAAAATATAAATAATTGAGACCCGCATTTTACTTACAAAGTAATAGATTGCACTGTTCTTTAAGTGCCACAGTGAACGACTTATGGCGGCTATATGTTAACAGTTTTAGGTCATTTTGCTCTGGGCCATTATTTCCAAATCCATTTCTCCTTTATGGTGAAGGCAGTTTGCCACATTTTCTGGCGTTAATGCACGTGAGCACCACTTGGGAATCGTTCTTCTTGCTTCACTCCGTGATTTTGTTTGAGTTTATTTAGCTCTCAAGTTTAGGCGAATTAAACTTTGTGCCTTGGACTTTTTGACGTTCTAAGGAATCATACCTTCACCTACATATCCTTAACGTGACTTAAACTGATTAATTGTGTTACCTAATTTTTTAAAGTGCCGTTATCTGTTAATTTAATGTCCTTGCAACTCTTCTCAAGTAATAAATCTGACTGTGTTTAATGCTGATTGATCGCAATGCTGAGTTATCTGAAGTTTTCTGCCAACATTAAGGATTTGTGAGGCAAGGACGATGTGTATCTAGCTTTTCAATCTCGATAGCTGCTATTAGGTTGCTTAAAATGTTAAAATACTTAAAATTTACATAAATAGCGATTACGCCAAGTAAATCTGTTGATAATGTGCATGTGGATGGCTCCCCTGCTATCAGTCTTAATGGTTCTTTCCCTTCCTAATCTTCATTTTTCAGAACATTTTAATTTAAACTTGAATCATCGACTAACTATCCATGAATTAGGTTTATTATCTGCCTCATTTTTGCCATGCAAGGTTTCGTTTTCACATTAGCTGACTGCTAAGTTTGTCTTCGTGGTTCGATGCAACTTAAAAGTCGTGGTTCATGTGGTATTTCACTCGTGCGGCTAAAATGGTGATGTTTGCCCTTAGTTGAACTGGCTCTGATCATGGACCACCTCTATGGGGGTGTTTGTTACGCGGGTATCGACATTGATCCCGAACTAAAGTACCCTAAAGGGGCAGGGCGTGTCGCTTTCTCGAATCAGCAGAGCTACATTTCTGCCATCAGCGCTCGATTCGTCCAATTGCAGCACAACGACATCGACAAGCGGGTGAGAGCTCTTATTCTCCGCCTAGAAAAATACTTCCCCAAATTTTCCCGAATTCCCCTCATTTGATGCGTCCTTTTGTTCCTGCGCACTTTGAGAAATACGCACTTGAGAGAAGTTTGCAATAATAACGGCATTGTTTCAGAGTTGAGTTCTGTTCCTTAGGTTATTTACAAACACGTACCTTTTAAATCTTGCACTTGAGGAAGGGATTCGCATCCATCATTATCGAGCTCAATTTCATTCCACTTTCTTTTAAATCTTTATCATAAAATATCATGTACGGCTAACCTTTAGCTGTGCAATTGTTAACAAATGTGGATAACTTTTGATCAGGCTGCGTGTGTAAAATCTAGTCGCTGAAATTTTTTTTCTCTAGGTGGAGGTCAAGCCTTATGTCTTGGATAACCAAATGTGTGACGAATGCCAAGGTGCGCGATGCGGTGGTAAATTTGCGCCTCTCTTCTGCGCCAATGTCACATGCCTTCAATATTACTGTGAGCAGTGTTGGGTTCAAATACACAGCCGGCAGGGTCGCGAGTACCACAAGCCCCTTGTTAAAGAAGGCGCGGAACGACCTCGTCCAGCCCTCTATCGTTGGTAGGGCGATCTCTCGACCCCGCCATGCCGCACTCATGGGTCTATTTTGCGTGTGCGCATTTCGCCCATTCAATCACTCGCCACGTAGTCGCCGCACTCTCCACTACCACCTCTGCCGCAATCATACGCATTCTGCAAATAGTCGCCTCTCATATAGTTTGTAGACCTTGCGCGAGACACACATCGTTCTTCCTCCTTGTGATCGACCCAACCCTATAATATCGTCCAGCGTGGATGAAACCGGTTTCATTTACCACCAGTCCCTCATTAGCTTGCGCATTTTGAGTTCCGATTACTTTCCTCCTTACTTCTCTACTTATGCTACGTTCATTAATTGATTGACTTTTGGATATCTATTTTTTGTTACACCTTTTGCATGGTTTTTCGTTTATGTGAGCTTTTTATCCTCGTTTCTTTATATATGTAGACACTTCTCACCAAAACACAGACTTAATTTAAACCTCGCACTCACGCAAATGTATACGACTCCTGTGAACAATCTTTCCGGTTCGCAATTTTTCACAAGTCACTTGTAATCATTACTGTCATCTCACCGCACCATTTCTGTGCAATCATTATTCTTCAAGCCAGTTGGTCCTTCCTTCTTCCCCACTTATGGTGTACAAGTGTTGTCTCTCATTTCGCCTACAAAACTGATATTTTACAGTATGGTAGCTTCGCGCATCTCATCTTACGTATTTCTATCGATATCTACAATGCCAAGCACGAGTGGGTGCCCTTTTCTACTTTCTGTTGTGCAATTTGTGTTTACTAATCATTTTCTATCCCCGACCTCCCTTGACTGCTCCTTTTGATATTATTGGCGGAACTGTGTAGCGTCCTTTTGTCGTTTGTGACCACGTGCTGCTGGAGTGCGCGTGCGAGTCTGTTTGCGTGTGCCTTGGTCGACGTACTCTGCGTAGTCCACTCACAACAATCATTGTCTACGCTACGGTGGTCTCATGCGTGTAATCCACGCTCTTCGCTACACTCAACTCTCCTCCTCCTACTGCATAGTTGCTCAGTTTTGTACCAACAACAACTGATCTTTTCATTATCGATTTGTGTTCCATTTTGCTATAACCGCCTATCCACTCTTCCTCCCACCCACAACTTCCCGTTTGGTTTCTCTTTTTGTAATGCACACGCATTGTCTTCCTTCCTTCGATCCTCTCCGCTTCCCGTTTCATCGCGCTGCCCTGAAGCACATCTGCACAGAATCTTGCGTGCCCTTGCATGTCAGTCTGGATGGGATGCATTGTTATTGCTCCTTATTTTTTTGTACTCCCTTCTCACCTGACCCTCACTGTATCCGCGGGATGTTTTCTTGTGCCAGAGAAAGATGGTCACTTGTTTCTGATGCAACTACGTCTTTAATCCAAAAAGAATGAACCAAACATGGAGCGCTTTATGCACCCACATACAAACTCGCGACGCTTTTCATCTCAATGCATGATCTTTTACGAACGGGAACTATTTTCATAAATTTCTAATGCAATCCCTTTGTATATTTCCACTCACGTTCTCTTCTACGTCCGTGTCTGCGTTGTCATTTGTGAATTTGTTTTGATCAGTAATTCAGTTATTTTTATCGTTTTGCACTGTCCTCTTTCTAGCACCATTCATGCTTTAGTTTATACAGTCCCCCCCCCCTCCCTCGCACACAAATCCCTGTTGATGCAGGTTTTGTTTAGTTTACTTTGATACACTCCCATACTCTTGTCCCCTCGTAATGCATTTGTGTCCCGCTGTCCGCTGCAGAAACCGCCAGAAAGGAAAAAAAACGAAAGGTGAATCACATGGGACCTCACTCGGCTTTCAATCACCACATTGTTGCTACCACCTTCAGTCCGTCGTAACTTGTTTCCGTGCAATTAATTTTTTTTTTCTGTGCGCTTCTTGATCTATCCCATTGCCCCGCTTGGAGCACCAAGAATGTGATCTCTTCATGGTCCTTATTTCCGTTGGTCATTGTCTCCGTCTCTTCATTTACCTGATGCATCTGTATTTTTCTACTTCCATCTCTAGCAAATGTGATCTCTTCAGCACTTGCTACTGTACCAGCGCACATTTTCCATGGTACTTCATCCAATATCCATCACAATTCTATTTCATCTCATCCTTTCGCACCACCCTTCTCATGCAATCGACTAGGCTTTATTTTTGTCCCAGCAGAAGCACCAACTGGTCATTGCTCTTCGTGTGTCGTGTATCGGGCAGTTGTTGCTTTGCGCCATTGTTTGGCAGCGCATTTTCGCCTCCCGCTTGCATGGTGCTGCCGCTGTGTCGTGGTGCAGAGCTCATTGTCCGCCCGCCCACCACTCACTCACCCATCCCAGCCCTGTCTCACTTCTCGCGCTCTGGCTTACCTGTGCGCGCGTTTGTTATACACACACTAAGGCTGTTTTGCAGAGCAGCGCCAACTCCAAGCCGCATCCGCTGTATCTGTGTTATCTCTTCGCTTTTATTTGCATTAATAAGTTAATTTAAATGCATTTTGTCTTGTTTTGAATAAAGGGGTTTATCGGCGACTTCACATATCAGGTGGGTGCTCTTATTCGCTGATAACTCTTAGTTTTGGTGTGCCTAGTTTTTATGGCTTGCGTTCGTTTAGTTGAAATAGTGTGGTTAGGTCTATTTTTGCGAAAATAGTGAAGAAATCAGATGTGTGTGACTTTATGTGGATGCGTGCCGAGGGTGCTGTCAAATATCTTGTTCATTGAGACCAGCATATTACATTTGCATAGCTAAGCTTGTATGTGAATGTTGAATTAAGACGATTTTCAATACTTCCAGTGATAGCTGATTTAGTACATGCTCAGCACAGCTATCAGAGCCATTCATCTTGTTGCGAACACGTCTGTACAAAGGCTTCCAACTTTAACTAGTGGTATTCCAAGTGTGGTCTTCACCTGTTCCCGTGTTTCCATTTGCACGTTATCGGCACGTTCCTTCGTGTTCTTTTATGGTTGTCTTAGCGTATATTTGCATAGATTAGGGTTGCTATGGTGGTCGTGTTTTAGCACATACGTTCCGCACATCTTAGCGGTATTGCGTTTCTACGAGAACCCTGACAACAAACTAAGGCTATCTGCAGAGAAAGTGCCATAAGGAATCACCCAAATCTTTTACCAATATTTTATTCGTTCATCGTAATGACAATAGTGCCGTAGGTGGAGTGTTGACTGAGTTATGACTGCGAACTTATCTTGTGATATTGTTGTCGATGTTGCGGATCCAGTGAAGGAGATGCGCTGTTGTCATTGCTGATTAGGCTTTGAGGCCGTTGGAGGTTAGGTCAATGTCATATGCGCAAAAGCCCAAGAAGGTGTCCCGGTCGAACACGTCGACGTGGTGTTGGCTGCCTATGCCATGACCTCCTGACTCACTGCCTAAGCCAGTACACGTTCATGCGGTGCAGGGGTGATGCCCCAGCGAATTGAGGAGTGCACGCGACCTTACCTTGCATGAGAGGTCTCGGTGCATATAGTAATCAGGGCAATGACTATGGCAACGAACAGCAGCGCGTCCTCGTGTTGCCCGAACGGGAAGGTCTGCGACCTCGCGCTTACAGTGCGCGCGCAGCCTCGGCATGCCAACGCAAGTGCGCGCGTGTCCTGCACGTGTACGCTGGCATCGGCGACGGCGGTAGTGCACACAGGCGCATCTACCCACACGCATTTGGCAGCGAGTGGTGCTTGCAAATGCGAAGCGTCATACTTTGATTTAATTGGTTGCTTGCGCACGATTTTAGGGCAGAAACCTGGCTGAATCGTTCAACTCGTTTAGGCAATTTCGTCCCTCTCCATCGGAGGTTGTTTGGCACTGCAAACGACAAGATTGAAACGGAGTTACCATTCCACATTTTGTGTATTACAGATACTTTTTCAAATTTTCCAGAAAAGTTGGAAATCCATCAGTCAGGATGGTTAGAACATAGCAATTTTTTCATTTCTACAAACCGCTTTAGAGAAAAAAAGTGCATTTTCACTCATTTTCGTCCCTACATGGCGGACTCTTCCCATGGACTAAATTGGGGAAATTGAAATAGCCATAAAAGCGTAAAAATCATGTCAACGCATCCGCATACTTTACAAGTTAGATTGATGCGATCCATAATGACAGTGTTCTACCTACCATACCATTGGACAGGAAAAAAGAGTTGAACACAATGCCTTCCACTGTTGGATGATTCAAAACAGTATTTCGTCTCATTCTCTCATCGGGCATTGAAGAGGATTTTGAAGAAATGCAGGCATTCCTAGACTTTGTTTATCATAGCCTGATGGCATATGTGCATCAAGTGCAGTGAAATCGTGTCCACTCTGCTGACATACCGCACAAACGTTGATTTCAATTTCATGGCTTAAGGGTCGTCTCTCTACTGCTCACTATTAACATTTGCGTTAGTGTGTTTGGAATTCTAGGTTTTTGATAATGCTACAAACGGGACACACTAAGTTCGTGTCACTTCCGTTAGCGGCGATTACATATCATTGCATGCCTATGAGTTCCTAATAAACAACTAAGAAGTGAAAAATCATCTTGGAAATGATTGATATTAGTCGGTTTGTTTGGCGTCGTGCATGAAGTGGTTTCTTGTTCCATTACCACCAACCCAGATTGTTGTTATTACTTTAGCGCAGTTTTTTGTGCGGGCTTAATTTGGTGTTACCGTTGACATTCTATTCAGTAACAAATGCAGGTCAAGGACTCGAGAAGGCTCTCAAGAATTTGGCCATTAATTTTGAAGAGCGAGTTTCCTTGATGCTGAAAACACTTTAATAGAAGACGCAATTTTAAGCCACAGTTCGGCTTCAGCATCACCGATATCGTTGCAAAGGACATTTTCGTACAGCATATGAATAACATCTAATTCTCTTCTATCCGACCCTTCATGCTAGAGCAAGGCAAGACTCAGGAATTGCTTGGGTTATTTTTCAGTAAAAACAGGACCAACTTCTCTGGATAGGAATGGACTCGCCGTATCCAGAAATTATTCTTAATTTAGATATAATTTTTCGTGAATGACTTTGTTGATTAGCTCGTAATTGTCTAAAAATGTTACAAACGGGTTTTGACTTGCCATTAATTTTTCCTTTGTTTTCTTCTTTCCATATTCTGCATTAAATTGGGCACTCGGACAAAAGATTGAATACATTTCAACTGTAGTGTAGCCTTAGGACAGCCTTGTCGCTTTATCGTTAAAGCAGCTTTAGCTTAAAGAGCCTAAAAGCAAACTAATTTTATGCTTTCGATAGTTTCCATTAATTTTGTAAAATCATAATTTATAATCGAGAGACTATGATTTTTCAAGAGGGAAGAGAATGTTGATTTAATTCTTCGGGTGGGTGCACATTGAGTAAATAATCCCGTAGCGAGACGTTCTGATTTTTAGCAGCCACTTTAAGTCTCTCAGTTGTTAATTTGTGCGTGTTCGCCGTGGCCTCTGTGTCATCGGATTCCTTCTGTAAGGTGACTGAGTCGGTGTCGGTCCCGTGGTGCGTATTTGCAGGGGCGAGCTGGAGTGCGCAACCAGCGCGTGCGCTGACTCATCGCAATGCCTACTGCGCGCACGCGGTCTGAGGCGCAGGTGCGCACCACCTCGGCGTAACCATTTGTGCCGAGATGACCTTGGCAACTCGTCTCTTGATGTAACACTATTTTTATAAAGGAACTCTGTGACTTAGATAAGTCATGTTCCCAGCGGTACGTGAGGGTGTGCAGTTTTGTCAGGTTTCTGATCCTACTCTTGCGCCTCTATATTTTTCGTCACTTGGCCCCTATTTAGTCATTAATAATGGTGCTGCGGCGGTCCTTTCGTCAAATATGGGCTAGTAACCACCGCCGATATCAGATAAGCATTATAGCACTATTTGCCTGCGTATGCATGTACCGGTCACATCAAACTCTCATTAAGGTTAAATTTAGGAAGCAAACAAAACTACTGATCTTAGTTTTCTTTTCAGTGATGGTACCTACTTTTTCCGTACTAAACTCGTCGTTCCTTCAACTTTTTTCCACATCTTAAATGCAAATCCCCAGCTTCATTTGCCTTACTCATTTCGTCATTCTATTTAACAGTAATGGCTTGGTTTCGAGAAAAAAGGAAACTACGATCACATGGATAAATTTGTTTTACTTTTAATACTGTCAGTAATTCGACGTGACATAGCATCAATCTAATTAATCATTATATTTTTTAAGTAGCAAAGCCTAATGTAAAATGACATCCGTCTGTTTATGAATTATTGTTTCCCATTTTAGACTTTAAGGAACCAGCTGGGTCAACTGCATTTAGCTCTAATAATTTATTAGTAGGATTGGGTTAAAGAAAATGTGAAGGGTTACAAACTCTACTACTTTTGAAACAATTGATGGAAATTTTGGCCTCCAGATTGACGCCCATCACGCCAATGCTCCAGTCATCTCGAGACTGAGATTCCAACTGCTAGGGTCATCGTGTTTATTTGGATAGCACTGAGGTGTGTTTTCCTTCTGTCTCAAAACACGCAATTTTTGAGAAACGGCAGTTGGAATCAGCCTCCATCAAAACCACAACTCAAAAATTTCTGTACCACTTTCTTTAAATGCTCGCAGTACGTTATTATTGGTAGAGTAAATCAATAAACAAATAAGTACAGACACATTAATAAATATGTTGTGCGTGGAAATCACCGCGGTTTCCTTCATTTCAAACTTTATATTTGTATCAATTAATCGGTTGGACTTTCCCTAGGTAGACGCAGACATTCAGCAAAATTGTCACCAGCAGTGATGAATACACATGTTGAATTCCACCCAAACATCTATCCGAACACTAAAACAAGTGCGAATTTTCAGTCAGGAATAACTGATGTGCCATAATTTGCGTTTGTGAAAACTGGATCTTTACAATGGCAAGTTACATGTATTGGTGTGCATTAATCGTGGCTTTCAAAAGTATTTGTTTTAAGATCACGTAATTGTTGGCAGTTAAGATGGCAAAGCTTACATCAGTTCAAAGTACCCTAAACTAATTTGTAGAAATTAAAATATGTGGAGGACATTTCAAATACCTAAGAGTCAAATCTCGGCCACTCATTTGTGCTGATTCCATCACTATTGCCTCCCACTCACGATTTACACATCACGTGTTGTGAGCTATGACATTCCGCATCAAATGATCCTAGACTTTTCTGGTTTTTACAACCACTAGCATTAGTCGCTTATCTATTTAGCATTTACAATAAAATATAAAAGTATCAAGCCAATCTCCTGAGAAGAAGTTGCTTACTCATCACCTAAGTTATTGAGAGGGATGCCTTGCTCAACCACGATGAATTCATAGACAATCCCTCTTCGTTTTCAATCTCACACGATCCGATGTTTTAACAACAAAGAATGAGCACCATATTACACAGCCCGGTATTTTAGCTTTAGGAAGTACGATAAACTAAGTATTAGGGAATGGTCGAGTTTTGCTGGATATATAAGCTGGAAATCATATAAGCAATGCATTGAAAATCCTAAAAGTTGACTTTTTGAGGTCCCACGGTGCCCAGCTTTATCACAATAGCTAAATATGCACTGGAGTGGGCTTAGGCGAAAATTCAATTTCTGTCATTATTGAGTTAACTTTCTAGCCCGATTTTGACTGCCAATCAGATAAATTCATTTAAAATATTTTGAGGTTCAACTCTTCTTAGATGGATATTTTTTGTACGTACCACTATCCCTAAGTGCAAACCGAATAGGTTTTCTGTTAAACTTTAGGAAGAAGTAAACATTTTTCCAGTATTCTTGCCGTAATAGTACCAGGAAGTATGAAAAGTTCAACTGCAAAACTAGCATTTTACTTGGTATGGTTGGTTAACCATGTCAGTAATGCGAGACGTCAAGAGTAATGAAATAAATGTTGTGCCTTGGTATTCATCAAATTACCCCTCAGTTTACAAGAGCCATTTTTCTTATTTTAATGCCATTTACCCGCTCTGAGTTGCCATGAAGTTGTCTGGAAGTGCCCTCTGTAGCAAGTGTGGAAATACCAGGATTGGTGCGAAAATCAGGAGTTTCAAGCGCAGCCAAATTATTCATAAAGTTAATTATTATACCTTTCCTGGATGTAATCGCCATTTGAGTTTAGTGGTTGACACATGAAAATGCCTGTATTTGTGAATACAATTCCTCGTTATGCCATGAAGTCGTTTCCTCGAGGGTGCGTGACTTCTTGTAGGCCAAGATCACACATCACTGAATTCAAGGCACAATGCTTTATCGGATGTAATCCAAATGCCCTCACGACCTTCATGAAAATTTGTAAATCATCGTTGTACATCTCGCGCCCACCTTTTTTAGTAATGCATTCAGAATAGTAGAGTAGTGCTTGTGTGTTAAGAATTAGATTAGATTAAGCAAGGGTCTAACTAATTCAGTGAAGGTGGGGATGGAATGAGAATATCAATAAAGAGAGCCCATCAAAGGGCGAAGTTTACTAAAAGTCTTTGCAAGTGGAGCTTTGGAGAGTGTGAAATAAAGATCTGAATCAAACTTATAGCCTTTCTTCATGGGCTAAAATTCTGTACTCGAAACCGATGTGTTGAATTAACCTTTTATAACAACGCGAATTTCCAAGTAGTGCATACAGCCCTTCATTATGAAGCTTTATTTTGGGGATATAAACAGCATCAACTTGATATTTGGCAACTCATTCTAAATTAGTATTGGTGTAGTTTATCACTACCTG